TGGTGGGCTGGGGACGGGCTGAAGCAGCACCTTCCACGGCCCTCTCACGCATGTGAGAGACACGCCGTTCGACCCCCGTTGTGTGAAATCCTGGTGTTTATGTGTATGGGGGGCCAGGTCGTGCTGTGGCGCGCGCAGGCATGGTCAGTCGACCATGTCAGCCACCGCGCCCATTCCCCACTCCAGTCTACTGACCGGCTCGGACAGTGGCTGGGGTGTGGGAGGGGGAAGCGAGAGTGAGGTCGACGACTCAGCGCATTTTCCTCACTATAAACAATCTGACGCGCTTGAAGCTATCACGGTGCGCTAAAAGCCGTGGCTTGGAAGGTTGCCAACTGACGGGGTACCTTGGACCTCCTCCTTAACGGGAGGCGGTCTGAGAGTCAGGCTGAAATGGCCCCTTTTTAATGTGGCCTTTATGGCATTCCCACCACAGTGTGGGATCCGAGCCAGGCGTTGGCGGCACGCCCAGGTGCGGCTTCGGCCGTGCCAGCCTCCAAATCTATGTTGTGTTGGTTCAAATCCTGGTTATTGTTGTGTGGACCAGGGGGTGTGGTGGAACGCCAAGATGAGGATCCGTCCGAGCCATCCACCTGCGGCCTCCCTCGTCTCCGGTCTTCTTGACTCTGTCTTGACACCGGGCCCAGGCGGGGGAGGAGGAGAGAGTGTAGGTAGATGCTACGCAAGTCTACTGGCACTATAAACCCCTGCGTAAGTCACCGTCCCTGCTTCCACCGCTGCTGCAGCTGTGGGGCACACGGTGGACATCGTCGAAATCGACGGTCGAACTGTCAGCCATCGTCAGCCAGCCATACCGAACCCCGAAGTGTGGAACACCTGGGGTTAGAACTCGCGGCCTGCTAGTTGGAAGTCCAACGCCTCTGACTACTAAGCTGCGAGCTCGTTGTCTTGTCGGTTTCGATACTGTTTCGGTATTGTATCTCGCCAGTGTCGGCTCAGACCGCTCGGCCTGACACAGAACCCCCTTCATACAATCTCCTTTTCAGGCGGCTCTAATACGCTTCTATTGTGTCCACGTACTTACCTGTAGCAGTATCCAAAAAATTGCTACTGTGGTTTACGAAGTAATGCTCATATCTCTCAGAGAACAAGCGTCTGTAGACTCTCCATTTGTCCGTCAAAATCACATTAAATTTCGCCATGCAGTTTGTTATAACCGGCCTGAAGGCTTCTCAGTTCTTTTGTTGACCTGCTCGAGCACTCCTTTCTTCTGCTTTGTATCATACATTCTGAGCAACCAAAACCGTCCTTTTTGCTTACCGACATTGTATTTTCAGCGGATCACCAGAGCCTCATTTATTCGCACCTCCACTCCTGGGCCGCCAAGTAGCTGGGTTTGACTAAGAAGGGTTGCGGAACGCATATTTCGACATCTATCGTACCATTACACAGCCGTTGCATAGCAGACTACCGAGTCCACATGATAGTGTTTCCCTGTTACTACTTTTATGAATGAGCAGATTTTCAAAATCCTCTTGATTGTCAGATGGCTCATTCCAAATGCTGAACCTGTCCGAAATATATTTTTATTGCCGTGACGGTTTAATCTAAAGGCAAAAACCGTCTGTGTGCAGCCGGAGGACTTGCTGCCAAACTTCCCAACGACATTTACACTTCAAACTTGTCGGCAGCAGTCCTCCGTCTTGACAATGCTACATCAGCTTATGGGAATTCCGTACTTTCACTATCTCGTCGCTTTCCGTCGGCGTATCCCCCTGAGGTCGCCTAGGTTTTAGGTTCCTTCGAGCGGCAGTCTGCGTTTAAAAAAGGGCGAATGAATTTACGTCTTACTGCTTCTTACTCCTATTCGGACTACTAACTGTTTACAGCTACATGGACAATGTGCTTTACTGTGCTTCTACATTTACCTAGTGCATTTGCCTTCTCACTGAGCTCGTTACAGACCGTTACTAATTTCCAATATATAAAATCATGAAATTACACGCAGGTCATGCCTCTTTATATTACTAGAATTGGCTATTCTTCCTATTCTTTCCTATCGTGATTTAACTTACCTTGTTTTGCATTTGCATAACTTCCGGTAAATTTGTGCTTCGAGTAACTCCCTACGATCTGCGTTATTTGCACTACCGATTAACGCCGGCGGCCAATTACCATTAACAGCGAATTCCCGTGGAATATAACCTTCCGTTGGTTAGGATGAGACGGTTTATTCAGTTGCCTAGAATTCGATGACTACCGATTTTTGGTACTTATTGAGTCTGCGTGCTTAACTACCGTTTACTTTCCCAGCACATTAGAAGGTCCGCGATGCAATTTTCTGCTTTTTTAACTTAAAATTCGCGAAAAATTTTTACGCGCGTCAGAAGGCCCACCCGTACAACTCCCATATCTAACATTCACGTAAGACAGACTCGTTTGATTACCTGTCTCGACCCCGGCTACAAACGATACCCTCTCCCGTAATTCAAATGTGCATTTGTTGGAGGGAAAGTCTTGACCCTATATGCGAATGGATGTCCGATATATTTTGTGCACCGATGTATGAGACAGAATGAGTTAAAAGATACAGAACCACGTACCTCCAATCAGGCACCTAAGCCAAATAATGGGCGAAATCTCCATTGCATTATAAATGTGTCTGAGATTTCCGTACGCGGCAACCAACTCGATGTGCTGGTTGATGCATGATTCAGCTGAGTGCATGGCCTCAAGGAACTCCCGGCCTTTCTTGGAAAAACACAGCGACAATGCAAGTTTGCTCCCAAGCAAAGGTGTGCCCGGTGTCCAGGGTGTGAATGATTCCTTGAGACAGGTGGTCTCGCCTCTTCACTGCCAACTGATGATCGTGCCTCGCCACGAGACACTGATGAAATTCGATTCGATGAAGTGTTTATGACCCATCTGGTAGACCTCAGTGCTGGACCAACTGCGTCAGGTGCATCTGCATGCATGTTTGTGTTTCTGGTCCCAGATGGTGGTTAAGGTTATGACTGGCTGAATGAAGGCACAATAAGTCCGAAACAGTACTGTATCAATCTACCCGCATTCTCAGTTGTCCCTCCTCGCTGCTATCTTGACTTAGCCGACTTCGGCCTGGTAATTGGTTACCTGTTCGTGACCTTTGCCACCCATACGGAGTTTGTTTGCTTCGTTAAGCCAATAGATCGATGTGCACCCATTGCTGAGTGAATATATATATATATATATATTCACAAATGCGACATTCTAATCCCTGATATCTGTCCGAACTCCATGCCACTTTATTAGTAAATTCCGGAGCTCCTTAATATAAACGGGATTTTTGGCTCCCTCCCATCTATAACAGAATGCGCAATCCAGAATTCTAATAATCAGAGGAGTTTCGGGAAACTTGTTTCAGTATACTTCTGGATGGGAGAAGCAATTCGTACATCAGAAGATATTGAAAAACTCTTTCGATGACGTGTTAAATTAATTCTGCAACACATTAGATTCCCAGCAACGCAGACGGTCGATTCGCTCATCCACTTCCTTCAATAAAATGTCCTTTTCATATGCAAAGATTGTGTTTACGTAATTATATAAAGTAAGATATCAGCAAATTTTGGCGAAACTGGACGTTGGAATATTCTTGCAATTTTCTATGCTAATACATGTCCTAGACTCCGTTTACGCATCTGAGCGACTTTTTCATTGAAAGGCTAGTAATTTGCCCGTGAGAGATTTAATAAGCAGATTTAACCGGACGTGAAAATTTATTTTATGTCCAATGATAACCGTGGTAATAAATTTGCAAACTCAAAGGGTATTTTAAGGAAACCAGATGATTTATGAATTCCTAAAAGACATTACAGTCATTCTGACGTTTTCGGGATATTGCGCTTTTCTAAAAAAATCGGCATTTCTAAACAACGGACCACTGCCTTTAATATTTCTTTTATGTTTTTAATTCTATTAAACTTGTACTTAATTAACATAGACATTGGACTCATGAAATGGTGTCGGTTTGCGAGTGATTGGCAATCACTCGTAAATTTCGGCACATTTCATGAGTTAGGTCACTAACTGTACGTTCTTTTACAGATTCGCTCATCTTGTGTATATGCACGCAGTCACAGCGAAGCTCACTGATCCAATATTTAATTATGTGGGACAATGCAGTCGGCAAAAGAATAAGCTAAGGAAGAAGTCTTGTTGCAACAGTAAAGACACAATAATAATTAAAGGCAGACTAGATTATTTAAAAATTGTGTTAGAAATTGAAAGGAGACGTGCCATTCATCCCACCCTGTGAACATCTCAGAAAAACGATAAAGTTAATGGACTGTCAGCGTAGGAGGAGTAACAAAGAAACGGATGCAAAAGGAGGCTTCAGTGACTACAATTTGAGAAGGCAGAATAGTTTTCGTCTCTGGATATGTCGCCGTTATATCCTTCGACCGTACGAGCTACAAAGTTTTTGTATTCCGCCCAGTAAAGTTGTCCATTGCCGTAGTGGCTCCAGAAGAATCGTAGATAAATCGGACTATTCGATCTGGAAAAAGGCTAGGGACGAAACGTATTGAGGTATGTGAGTAACCGATGCCTTAAAAATTGCAAAATAGAAAATAATACAAATAAAGAAGAAATGTGGTCGAGCACCGGAACATTCTGCCTATTGTTCTGAGCTTTCGAACTGGTGCGTCGATCGATGATTGGTTAACACGCCCTATAACTGTCGGTTGTTCTGCTACTGCTGCTACTATCTCTGAAGACGGACTCCTGCACGAGTTCGGAAGCTCAAAACAATAAACAAAGTGTTCCGGTGCTCGAGCACTTTCCTTCTTCACTTATGCCTACACCTGGAACTCGAACTTTCACCTTCATTCGTGAGAAAATAATATTTTGCAGAAGTCGCCTTAAATACCTAGGTGCAATGGGATGTCGACTGAACTAAAGTAAACGAAGTTAAGAGAGCGACAGGACAGGTGGGATTAATTAGTTGCATTGAGAAATAATTAGTTGCCTATTCCGATATAATTCGACAGTTCTTAAAACCTGAACAGGGTCATCAATACTTTAAGGAGGCAGCGACGACATGCGTGTGATTTGGGTTGTAGTCCAAGGGGCCTATACTGTACCAGTTCACATATACACATTTCACTACCTGTCCGGTTCTACTGGCATGACGAAGGCAGGACAAATTAATATGGGCTTGGGCGCGTTGGCCGACCCAATAGAAGGCCCTTGTTCGCACATGCTACGCACATGCTGATCCCTATGCGAACACGAAACGGACTTCAGCTCGGATCCCAGCAGCAAGTTTCCATTAGGCCATATTCCTAAGGAACATTCCGATCCTCAGTCTCTAGGGAAGGCCAAGCTTGGCGGTCGAAAACCTCCAAGGCCACGTCAGAGTCAAAGCGTCAATGCTTTTATAAAGGTGGGGGGAGGGGGGGGGGGCTTGTGCAAAATCAGTATCGACCTTTTCCCCGTCAATATCTATCAGAGGCTAGAATAAGCCGTGTCTAATGGACACCAAATTGAGGTAATGACTGAGGTGGTGCAAAGATGCCATCTCTCGAGCTTCATACACGTGTTTGATTCCCATTTCGGCCTGACACTACGACGCCACTCACCCTAGAGATCGGTTGACAGTGAGTGGCATGGTGGTAGTCGGGGGGGTGGATAGCGCCAATACACGAATACTAGGGATTTTGGTGCCTTTATGGACTGTCCATGGTCGCTAATTTTAGCCTCCCCACCTGCAGAACAATCGAATTCCAGCACATATCAGTTCAGTTGGCGTTTCCAAATCCTACCAATTCAGGAAAAAGAGAATGAATGCAGAAGACGGTCCCCTTGTGAATGCTAATTGATAGATAACATCTATCTGCCACAAGAGACGCATTCTTACTGGCAATTGCTGAAATTCATAAAACACAAAAGAAGAGCTTTAGATGCGCTTTCATTTATGGGACAAATTCAACTTCGAGAGCCTGTTCCCAGGAAAAAAATTATTTTGCGATAGCATCGAAGGTGGGAAAAATATTATATAGTAGTTAGTGAGGTCTGCAATGTGAACTGAAACATTCGGAACTGGAAGTCGACATGCGATGGTCGTGAATTAAAAGGCGGCAGTATCTCACTTGCATAACCACTGGAATTTCACCGAAGCACTCTCTACTTTACAGTATTTTTAAGGCCTTCAGCCAATGCTTCAGGTGTATCAGCATATGGAGTATACGGTAAAAAAAAACAAATGCTCACTGTTTGATTATCGGAAACAGTGTCATGGACCAGGGTATGTAGACGATATACTCCCTCTCGCGTATGGCCTTGATAATGCGTGCAACGGTGGCTTCCTTTGTTTGAACTGGAAATATTCTGGGAAATCTGGAAAATATTAATAAAATGCTCGTCAGTATACAGCTATGACGGTCTTACAAAACACTATACGAACAGCGGGAATCAGAGACCACCTTGGAAAGTGCCGACTGCATTTAACTGATATCATGAACCCGCTTTTCCCTGTTTAACTGAAAGACAGCGCATCCCGACCAATCAGGGCACACTGGGACAAGGCTTTTTGACTTTAAGGCGGCCTCCCCCCAGTTTCCTCGAGTCAAGGCGGTCCTCTCTTTTAGGTATGTCCGTCTTCTTGCCATTTAGCACTGGCCTATTGACGATTTTACGTCGTCCACTAATTAAAAACCATTGATTGGGGCTTCTGAGTCCCTCGCGTCCCATTTTTGGCAACCTGTATTTTCCGCCAGCTGTCGATTACTCATACTCGACTAACCACGTGATCAGACGGGTCGCAGGTCGATTGGGGCCAGCCTGCGAATGTCACACCGCCGGCTAGTGCCAAAGCTGCAGCGACTACGACTACCGTCTTTTCTCTCCCCTCTCGTAAAGCGCCCGTCGTCGCACAGCCCGCCTCAGCCCTGCTGGCGCTTGCAGACGACAGTTCAACCGTCACTGCCGACGATGTACACAGCGAGGTAAGAGCAGGCAAGGTGATCTGCGCGTGAATTAGTTTATAGTAAGGGTGGACTTGTACAGCATCAACCGCACTCCCTCCTGCCCCCCTACATGGGTCCGATGTCAAGACAGCCATGAAGACCGGAGACGAGAGAGGGCGCAGGTGACTGGCGCGGTCGGACTCGCGCCTAGGAGCACCACCACATCCCCTAGTCCAAAACAAACGCTTGCCCAGGATTTTGACCAACAACACAATAAACGGGTCAGAAAGACTAGGATGACTGGGAAACCATGCACATAACCTGTATATCCGGTTGGCGCGTAAGCGCATCTGCCGACAGGGAATCAGATGCCAGAGAACTGCCAGCGCACAGCAGGTTGCGAGGGCCATGGTTTGCTAGATCATGGCATAGCAGGCGCTCACAATCCTTAGGGCCAAACCCCACACGCCCGAGCATTCACGTGCGACCGATTGGTGCGGTTCCGGGGCGGGTATGGGCCATGCGAATAAACAAACGAGACCAGAATCACATTCAACGTCGACAGTCCTAGATGCAGGCTACCCATCACCCTCGTGCAAGGTAAATGGGATAGTGACCCTCCTGGACGAATAACATTTTCCGCATAAATACTAGCCCCGCCTTGAATAAACAGCTGCTCAGATGACCGATGGCTTGATTCGCTGTAAGCTGCCCTACGGGGTAGGAGAGGTCGTTCCATTTCTGGGGAACAGTTACCGCAGCCTTTTAGCTCCTGGTTTGCCGCCTGGTCTTTGGGACCGCAATGCCATAGAGGTTATGATTTGTAGTAGGACTAAATCCCTTAACATGGGCTACCTAAACGCATAGACCATCTTCACCGGGTTGCAATGTTCATACGCCATTACGCGCTCATCCCTATCTGGGGTGAAATCGTTGCACAAGCCGTGTACAGTCTCCCGTGTTTTTGAGAACTCATTCGAGTTTGGTCATTCCGGCTAGGAAGGATTATTTAGGCGCTAACGATTGTCTTCCAGAACCTGACACATACTGGAACGTGGTTTAATTTCCGGAGATTTATGCTAAGTTGGGTCTGTTGTTCTAAGAAATCCAACAAACCCTTATGTCGAAGAGGTATCTATTTTCAAATGACTTGCAAGAAATGACAATTTCTCAAAAGACGATTCGCAATGCATCCACCCAGTCCCGGAAAGCCTTTCATACTAGCACAGGGTAGTCCGCAATACGTATATCGTGGCCTCACTCGAGTGGACTTCTCATAGACCATCGGGTTATCTTTTATGAAAATCTAAGATGCTACGGTGTGTGAAGTAGTATGACACCATGTTACGTGCTTATCAAAGCCGCGAACCCACTTAGGAAGCTCGTTCAATACTCTAACTGTTCTGGCGCATACTGGACATTAGAGGCTCGGTAAAAACGAATATTTCCGTTTCCGTGCTCATTCCTTTAACTACCCCGCATGCAGGTATAAAGATGTAGAGATAGGTAAATATCAGTCTCGGGAAAGCACGCCCAGGAGCCTTCTGGGAAAGCCTACATCACTTAGAATCCCGGCATAAAACGGCTCCTGTGAAAACATCGGTATTGGTTGATAACGGACGTGTGGACTTGCGAAATCCTCCACTTGACTTCCCAGATCCTGCCGTGTCCACTTTCAAAAGTGAGCAGGCTGACAGACGAGCTCGTCCCCTAATCCACTATGCATGACACCGGTAGTTGACAGTCGATGTTTTCCCCTTCGGTGTCGTCGTCAGGCTCTTTAAGTCAGTGGCCAAATCACGATTATGGGTCTTTTGGGTGGAGAACTCTAATAACTGTGATTCTCTTAACTGATTAGCCCATATTCGTCCACGCAATGGTCGGATAGCAAAACGTCGCAGTTCCCAACTTCGTATGCGACAGTTATGAGGTCAAAATGCACGACCACGGCAATCGAAAAGTGCTACTAGTCATAAAGGAGTGGACGGAGATGTGTTGAAGGTAGAATGAATAAGTCCCAGTCAGCTGTGTCCGGGGTCTCGACCTTTCTGGTCTACCTCTGCAATATTGCATACGTCTGTTGAATCTGATGAGGGACTGATGCGCTGTACGGACTTGCCCGCTTAGCAATGGCCACCATGGGACCACACCCGACTACTCGTAAGTAGGCTGGCTTGCCAAAAAATCGCGACAGCAGTGCCGGTTTTTTGTTCTGGCGCGTTTTTGGCCAGCATGGCACAATGGGGATACAGTATCTTGTGCTTCTTTCATCTCATGCATATAAAGAGATTACCCGGCTTGAGATGTCGAAACAATGAGTTAGTCATGAAACGCAGTGGCATTCCATCCCGAAGAACGAGTACAATGAAGCACTCTTGTTTCGAGAAATAGTACATTTCTATCGTCTTCCAAAAGGACGCAATTGCACACTTGGGAACTGATACAACTCAATTGTGGTAAAAAAAAAACAATCAAGTCCACGAAGACAGGTGGAAAGACTGAGAGGAAGTGTAGGACCAGTGAGGTGAGGGAAATGGTTATGATAAAGACGGGGTCGAGGTATACGACGTAGATAAAAGAAAGAACAAGAGCAGTGAGCGATCAAAAGGGCTCCGTCTTCTAGTCAGGCAAACCCGCGGGGCCAAAAAACCGGGTTTAAGGCGCATATGTCGGTGTCTTGTGTTCGCTCCAGTGTACAAAGGCTGAGGAAAGTCTAAAACGTCACGGTGAAGTGCTGTCATTGTCGCCCATCCGCACTTGTGACCAGCTACGAAGCAGGCCTCGCAGACATGGAACGTCTGGAGCAAATTCTGATCTTTGCTTTGTTGTAGGTCTAAGAGCACTCGTCAATGAACGACAATACAATATCTGGTATATACACTAGATCACCTTTCAGTATCAGCTAGCCACAGAATACTGTCCCTTCGAGTAAAGTGGGTTTTCACCGACTGTAGATGGCGAGTTCCGAATGTGAATGTATAGGCATATCGATGGTTCATCGAGGATATCTGACCCCTCCTAATTTATTTAAAGGCTGGTTTTTCATATGCATACGCGCCTCAGTATCCGTATAGAGCCAAACCTAAGAGCCAGAATAATAACCTTTAATCTTGGCCGCGCATGTGACCTGAGATAGCGAGTTCGGAAAGAAAGTTTACTGATTGCCCTAAGGGGGCGCGAAAAAGTGGCAGAAGACTAAAGTCCATATTGTAAACTACCTGCTTTTGAACCCATCAAACATTCCCGTATCTATTACATACGGACGGATGTCAGTGATCGTGATTTTATCACCGACCCCCAGTCGTATTAGCTCCAACCTGAATGATTCAGCAAGAATTGATAGGGCCGCTTTGGAAGCACAGTAATCGGATAACCCCAAGCACGGTATCTGTCCGGTAATTGAAGAAGTAAAGATAAAACGACCGTGAGGTGGCGCCTTTGAGACCGCAGAAAGTGGCTGGGATGTCCTCAGTGGAGCTGGGATTCGCTCGTAAGTCTCTTCGAAGATGGATCCAAGCATCCCGGGAAGAAAGGCTTTAATGAGCTAAAAGGTCCAAAAACAGAATTAAATCCAACAGTTCGGAAATGCATTCAATGCATGGTAGGACAAGCCAGCCGCAAATAGGCGATAAAAGTGGTTTTTATGACCATACAGTTGTAGAAGCTATATGCAAACTAGAATACCACGATTAATGGTTGAAACAATGCTTTGAAATGTATCTCAGACTTCGAAGAAAACACTGTTATGAATCAATGAGAAACTACAAAGCTAAGGAATGTAGTCTGTTATATGAGAAGGAAAGTTCGCGAACTTGGAAGGTCGGATTACAAACACAAGCTTTCAGTTTGGTTTTCGAGTTCACCATCTAAGATATGACGTGAAGCAAAAGGGCGCACAGTTTACGCATGGGAGTTCATCGATGCGCACGTAGACTCGGGCGGAATTTAGTCTGCTCGCCCGATTTCATCCGTATTTCACTTTCAATCCATTGACAGAACCGATATTCTAGGCAACCACCTTGGTGTTGGTACGCCTTCTCCCATGATGTATACATGAATAAGTCTGAAAGTAGGACGGTCCGACAGAAAGCTGTTAGTGGCCAGCGAAAAAAGAGCAAGCATAGCGCGACTTTTCCCTGTGAGCAGTTAGTTTTGGATTACGGGGCCACCATAATGAATCGGTTATTAGGAGAATCGTCTGACCTAATCGTACTTTTCAGGTGTGTAGGCGCCTCACACGTACGCCGGCCCTGCTAATCTGGTTAGCAGTCATGCCATCCAACAGCAGGACCCACACAACCGTCAGCCAGTCCGGGTAACCAGAAATGCCTCATTGCCTCAGAGTCGAAACAGTCATGTACTTTTGCCTTCTCGTGCACCCATAACCACCCGCCCTAGTTAGCTGACGACGGCCTTTTCGGCCGAGCATCAATGGCCGAGTCCAGATTACAAAGTCCCGGCACAAAGTAATCTATCGCATCTATGAACTCGGGCTAGGAGCCGGTTGTGACAGGTAAATTATATTTACCAGCCTAGCAACCGCTGGTTACTAGGAGGCGATGGAAGTTTCCAAATGACTCGATGTCTAGACACTTAAGTTGAGAAGGGACCCGGGGCAGTTCACACAGCTAAAGGGCAACTAAACAGAGTGACGCTCTAAAGGCGCTTCTCAGTGCGAGTATGAGTGCAACATATCAGTTTCTATACTCACATAGACGTAAGAGAGTCAAGACGTTCGAGTGACTGCAAACTACATCGCACGTCCACCCTTCACGGTACGACTTCGGATAGGTATTAAAAATGTGTCTAAAAAGGCGAAACTTGCATGGAAGGCAGCGAAGAAATTGACTTTAAAGACACGTTCGACATCCTCTCCAGCAAGATCTAACAAATATTTTCCATTTACAACTCCGGCGTTGCTGATAACAATCGTTACCCGACCATAAGTCATGTGAAGCTTCGATGCGCAGTCACGAATGCCGTCCGGAAAGCTGCGAAAATGTTATGAATAAAAGCATTATCGTACCTCAAATCGATGTGCTCTAGATGCATTCTAATTTTATTGGCTTGAAATACGAGTTCCGCGGTTTCTTTCAAGTCTTCCATGTTCTTGTCCCACCCAATTATATTGCCGCAGTATTTAGAGATTTCAACAGAAATGAGCCTGCCGAGGCCACTACCTGCGCCCGTGATTAGAATTACTTCGTCACGTAAGTCTTTGGCTTTCTTTGGAAGGTTACAAATCAGGACCCAGGTCAAGAGCGGGAATAATGCTACGCAAAATAGAACGGTGATCATTGTAATTGACCAGCTCTTCACTTTCTATGCAGGTTCAATGCTGAAAGGAAAATGAGATAATTACAGTGAAAATCGAAGGAAGTTTAATTGAACACTATCGAAAAAGGGCTTTTAACAGGATAAAGTACGGATAATAAATGTTGCATATCCATTATATGCCACGGAAGTCGTTTGTGGGAGGGGGGAGGAGGGGGGTAAGGATATTTAGGCGATCGGTGCATCAGGCCGAACGCTCGTTAGATAGCTGAGGAACTATGACGGATCGAGGACATTTACATTAATTCGATGATTAAGAGGTTACTCAAATATAGCGTACACGCGACCCATGAGGTAGAAGATAATTCAACAAACGGAGTTAAAATAATTTGACAAGCGTTACAAAGTTAGTTGCAAGTTCACTGCCGGATCCTGGAAGACTACCTGGATGCCTAACAAGAACACTGGAATGAAAGTGGTAAATGAGACATTAGGGGGACAGGCAATCAGAAAGATGAGTTAATTGACTCCTTTTCCGAAAAGTCCAAAATAGGGCATGCGCGCCCAATCTAAAAAACGTTTTAAAATTCATAGAAGAACCTCAAGTATTTCTAAAAAAATGCAGGATTTGGAGTCCACAATCAACCATTAAAAGGCATGTAGTACAAACCTGTGCGAGGGGCTTATGAGATGTATATATATATATATATATATGGTGGAAAGGTAATACCGACAAAGACAAGGGAGACCGGAATGGCCATTTCTGGCTTATTAGCCGTCATCAGCCAGTCATACCCAACCCCAAGTGTGGATCACTTGAGATTCGAACCCGGGATCTTTGGTCATGGAGTTGAACGCTCTACCATTGAGCCACGGGCCCGTTGTCCTGTCGGTTGTGATCGGGAATATTAATTATGATAGTGGGCGCTCACCGATCAGGTTACGGAACATGCTCGTTCCGTTGTGCCTTGGGGCTCATACTTAAACCCTCGCAGGCAGTCGCACAGCGACTAGTGATATATGTTGGAAAGGTAATACCGACAAAGACAAGGGAGACCGGAATGGCCATTTCTGGCTTATTAGCCGTCATCAGCCAGTCATACCCAACCCCAAGTGTGGATCACTTGAGATTCGAACCCGGGATCTTTGGTCATGGAGTTGAACGCTCTACCATTGAGCCACGGGCCCGTTGTCCTGTCGGTTGTGATCGGGAATATTAATTATGATAGTGGGCGCTCACCGATCAGGTTACGGAACATGCTCGTTCCGTTGTGCCTTGGGGCTCATACTTAAACCCTCGCAGGCAGTCGCACAGCGACTAGTGATATATGTTGGAAAGGTAATACCGACAAAGACAAGGGAGACCGGAATGGCCATTTCTGGCTTATTAGCCGTCATCAGCCAGTCATACCCAACCCCAAGTGTGGATCACTTGAGATTCGAACCCGGGATCTTTGGTCATGGAGTTGAACGCTCTACCATTGAGCCACGGGCCCGTTGTCCTGTCGGTTGTGATCGGGAATATTAATTATGATAGTGGGCGCTCACCGATCAGGTTACGGAACATGCTCGTTCCGTTGTGCCTTGGGGCTCATACTTAAACCCTCGCAGGCAGTCGCACAGCGACTAGTGATATATGTTGGAAAGGTAATACCGACAAAGACAAGGGAGACCGGAATGGCCATTTCTGGCTTATTAGCCGTCATCAGCCAGTCATACCCAACCCCAAGTGTGGATCACTTGAGATTCGAACCCGGGATCTTTGGTCATGGAGTTGAACGCTCTACCATTGAGCCACGGGCCC